TATGACAACTCATGCCAGGTCTATATTTAGGCTTAAGCTTTTTCTGTAAAGCCGAGCTGATTGGAGTAAAGGCCTTCACGAGCATGTGTACCAGCATGCGTAAAAGAATTGATTTAGTCAAAATATTCACAATCGAAATGACATGATATGACCCCTCACTGCATGTCTGATTAGAAATCATTTACCGACCATGATTTCTATCTTTTGCCATGTGCATCATTACTGTTAACGAACCATTCTAGCTCCCCTGTTTAAACGATACACTTCACAACAAATAAATTGACAAACGCAAAAAGAAAGTAAACCACAAATATCTGCTATTTGTAATACATTTCGATGGCTCCTGATTTTGGTGTAGTGCAGGCCGACTATCTGTACGACCTACATTGGACACCAAAGTTTGATGAGTTTCTATTCGATTATTTACTTGAAAATAAGTTGTGTGGTATATTTGTTCCTTTTGCAGATAATAGTTAGTCCATACTTCGGACAAAACTTGGTATCAATTGTTCAATTGTTCAAACAGGCAGAATTGCCCATTCCCTGATATTACAAATCACTGCAAGTCTATAGCTAGACTTATGCTTTTCAGGTTCAGCTTTTCTTTAAAGCTGAGGTGGATTGGACTAAAGGGCTTCACGACTATGACATGATATGATCGATTGTTGCATGTCTACAAAGCTGAACTGATTAGACTTTACTTACCTGCAAACCATAATTTATGGCTTTTACCATGTGAAGCACTATTGAGATATGGTGTCGCCATATCTCTCTATTTAACCAACACACTTCAAGCAACTAGCATCGACAAACTTCAAAAACTCTTAAATCCACATACGGAGGAAGTAAACAAAAAATAGAGGCTTGTACTAAAGTCCGATGGCTCCTGATTTTGGTGTAGTGCAGGGCGACTATCTGTACGACCTACATTGGACACCAAAGTTTGATGAGTTTCTAATCGACTATTTACTTGAAAACAAGTTGTGTGGTATATTTGTTCCTTTTGCAGATAATAGTGAGTCCATACTTGGTGATACGAACGCATTCAATGCGTGGTTTTCCAAGAGTTTCACGGTAGAGTACATTAGTACCCGCGTTGGAATGTATGCGAAACGAAATGATATCTTCACAGCGCTGAAAGACAAGGATGGTGTTCAATACGACGTCGAGAATAACAAGTACCATGCTTCGGACAAAACTTGGTATCAATTGTTTAATGTGAGTTTTGTTAAATGATTTACATTTCCTTTCTTACAGCTAATAGTCGATAGATGTACAAACTAATTTTTTTTTTTTTTTTTTATTACATAGTGGGATGATTTTGCCATCGCGTACATGACAGAAGGTGATCCACTGCATAACAAAATTGTCGAGTTGTTTCACGTGGAGCCACCGCACATAAATTCATTTGAGTGGTGTTATATTTCGGACAGCGACACCGAAGCCAATAAGAAAAAGGGTAAGGTACTTGTCAAAGATGTTGAAATTATAAATGTTGAGGACTACACTCCAAAGCGTGCGCCACCGAGTAGGTTAGTGCCCTACCCTGTTCGAACGGACATCCCCCGTAAGAAACAACCACCGCGTCCGACCTTTTATATGGGTAGCAGTTCGAAGGCCCCTAAACCGAAGCAATCCATACATAGTCAAACCGGGTCTAATGATGTCTCCGTGAATCAGCCCAGAAACGACAACTCCACTCACAGTGCACATGAACCGGAAGAAAATTCTACATCCACTGCATGTTCTGTCACTCCTATGGATTACACGCATTATTGGCCATGGAATTAGCCTCGTCACTGCATCCTCTCCTTATATGTTGGTTCTTCTTTCAGTGGTGTCTCAGTATGTTACTTGTGGTTGTTTTTTTTTTTAATTTTTATTTACTATTATGTTTGTTATTAACTATTATGTTTGTTTTATTGTTACTGCTTGTTTCTTTTGCATGTTCTGTAATTGTTCCACCGCATCTGTTTTTATGGCCTACGCGTAGCATCTTTAACGTAAGCAGTTGTGTTTGTATTATGTAGTAGGCAAGGTGTTATGTATTAGGCATGGTCTTCTGTATGGTTATGAAGGATATGGAGGCGTAATGGACGTTTCTTGATTTATGTACCATTTATGGGTTATGTACCATGTTTAATTATATACATGTTATGTTAGAATGAAAAATATGTCATTATAGCCATATTATAGGAGCTAATTGATAAAACACAAATAAACCATATAAAAATGTCTTAATAAAACTAGAATTATGCTAACACCCACGTCTTACATCATTTCACGTCAAATACCAATATTCAATACAAAAAAGTGTTCAAAAGTTTGCCGTTCAAATACACGCTACACACAAATTTTGACCACTCTAAACCAAGGATACCTAAACGAAATCAATGTAAAGACCCACTCCGAATCCTCCTCAACGTCATTTTCTTCAAAGAAATGGCGCATATCGCCATCTTTCAGCCGCCTCTTACCATGAGATCGATCTATATGCATCGAATATGTATCCCCCTTGAACATAAGCACTGCACGGTCTATCTCTGGAACCTGTCCTTCAATATGTGCGTTCCAAAATTGCATTGGTATGGGCTTTACAAAACAAAAAAAAAAATAAATAAATAATAAATTATAATAATATTAAATAAGACAACATTTTATTTATTATGCAACAATAATGTTGACGAAATGTATAATTGTATAACACGAAAGCATTCACTTACCAAAAGAGCACGCTCCACGTGAGTTTTTTTATTTTGATGCTAAACCAGTTCTGTGGAGGCCTCTCTATATCATTACAAGTATATACCTTCACATTGAACGTTCTGAACTCATCCCGTTCAAAATACAAGTAGTACCCCTGACGTATATCCTCCGATTGAACGTAACGTTGCCACCCATTTGCAAAATGCAAACTAACCCTTGGGTCGTGGACATTTGGACCTCGAATTTTGCAGATGTCCATTGGGTAGTGACGACCTTCAACAGTTATGAGAATAACTGGAAAAGGCATCACGTGTCTCCCAAAGTAACGTTCCGCTTTTTCAATGCCCTACGAAAGTTTATATTTCATAGTCATTCTTTTTTTTAGGTTTTAAAGTTTTTTCTTTCAGTTTTTTCCTTTATTTTTTTCCCTTTGTTTTTTTTTTCAGGTTTTGAGGTTTTTTCTTTCGCGTCTCATCTTGTCATTAGCTTTATTCAGGTTATGAAGTTTAACTTACCATGATAGGGTAGTCTGGCATGTCCATATATACATAGAAACACCCCCATGGCGGGTTATCGTTGTACGTAGCCATAATGAACATGAAATGAGCAATATAACATAAAGAATAAATAAGTTGAAGAAGAACAATAATAAATTTCATTCAACGTGCAATGCAAAACAAGTACACCATTACAATGGAATACATGGTCACCATCCTAATAAAGAAAATAACCGTTCATACAATCAACAAGTCCTAACAGTTCATACATCTCCCAAAAACCACAAACAAAATCAAAAATCCATACAATTCAAACATGTCGCATAAAACACAAAACCACAAAACCAACAATATAAGTTCACACCGTTCACAAGTCATTAAAGGACAACATAATGAGACACAACAATTTTCCATTATCAGCACTACCCCCGACCATCTAGAATGACCCTAACCATGAGTGCCCTATCCGCCTGCCCCATGCCCAAAAACATCGCAAGCTCCCTCGCATTGTTGTACAAACGCAAACATATAACCATTCGCTCCTCACTAGATAGAAAGTCGAAAGTACGAAGCGCATCCATTACTTCTGCCATCTGCGCCTGTGCCGCTTGCTCATTGCCCATTCTGGCAGCAATTTCAGCCAACCGGCTATCCGTGTTCAGCGAGAATGTTTCCATGACATCGATGAAACGGTCGTCCATCAGGTTAGATGACCTCCTTTTTTTCCCTCTAATATTCCCCCCTCCCTTGGAGTTACTTTCAGCTGCCGTTCCCGACGACTGACCGGCATCATTGACTGGGCCACGTGTGGCCTGCGTGGCCTGCGATGGGATCTCATCGTATTCCTCATTCGGCAGGTCCTGCTGGACATCCTCAGCCGCGTCTGCGAAAGCCTGGGCATCACTACCACAGGCTCTGTCTTTCCCGAATATGACCTCCCAATCATTAAAGTGGGGGAAAGGCTTGTTCCTGAGTCCCTTCGAATTAGGATCAACCTATTGGTCATGTGTTGGGGAGGACAAAAATGTTATGATAATATGTAAAATATGTGAAATATTTATATGACTCAATAATTTGAATTATAAACAAACCTTGAGCCAAGCAGCCCACTTCTCATCCTCACAAGAGAAGCTTTTTGACACATCATTCCACCCCAAACCCGAGTTATTTGATTTGATATTGGCTAGACTCGAATAATTTTTCTTCCAGACATGCATCTTAGAAGTTATGTGCGGGTCAGCTCGAATTTGACATCCGGGAATATATGTCTTCATCTTTTTTTCCAACTGAAATGCGTAACCAGTTCTAAAGCTGTTTTCCGTTTTCCATCCTTCGTTTACTATATCCTTAAGAGCATTTATTAGTGCTTTCTCTTCTGCGGATGTCCAAACACGGCGTTTAGATGTGGCGCCGTCTCCTTCCTAGTATCTGATGTGAATGATGTGTCCATGACAAATATCCTGTAGCTACAATAATGTAATGTTGTAGCAATCTCAGTTATTAACTTTATATTGGGTAATATAGAATTTCCAAATAAAGGTATATGAAAAATGTCGTAAAACAAAATGATATACTACACAACAAGAAATATGCAGGAAATACACAAAACACAATAATATTTAATGCCGATAATCACCATAATAGCATATTCAACAACCTTAATGCAGTATAATACAAACAAAATATAATTTAAGAACATTTATCACTATTACTTTGTAACTAGTAGAGTCATATGGAAAGTACACAAAAATAAGGTTGTTTATCCATTAGGGAACACCGCCCTGCCATTCTGTGAACATTTGTTGGGCTAAGAGATCGCGCTTCTGGGTCCATTCATTGTTGCTTTCAACTTGATCTATGTAGTCGTCGTCAGTCGTTGGTGTGGAAGGTATCAGGAATTCTGGAATCTCATTCTCGATGGGGTCTTCGGGCATTGTTGTGCGTATTAAATTGTGAATAAGCGCGCACGCCATGATGATGCGATTTTGGGTCCTAATGGGGTAAAAAGAGTTACTCCTAAGAATTGCCCAACGCATTTTAAGAATGCCAAAAGCACGTTCAACCCCGTTTCTAGCTTTGGCGTGACGAAGGTTGTAGAGTTCTCTAAAGTTCTGTGGAGTGCGAGACCCTGTACCCCATTCATCTAAATGATATCGCACACCCCTATATGGCGCTAGAAAGCCAGGACCATTAGTGTAACCACCATCCACCAAATAATATTGTCCTGCATTATAAACCATTGTTTTATGTTTGACTTAGTGTCGTACGGGTGGGTGTTGTTTACACTATTTATACAAAAAAAATAGAGGGAATACCATTTGGGACTCGGAGAGAATTTGCCCTAGTGATTGCATCTCTTAGTACTCGATTATCAGCAGTAGACCCCTCCCATCCACAAAGCATGTAGACGAAGTTCATATTTCTATCACACACCCCAAGTACATTAACTGATACTTGACCCTTTCGATTCCTATATCTTCCCCTATCTTTTGATGGGACTCGGACGTTACCGTATGTACCATCTAGTGCATCTAGACACCCCTAACGAAATTAAAAAAAAAAAGATATTAAAAAATAGCATTAGTTTGTAAGGAATATAAAAGAAAAATGTCCAAAAATTGGTAAGGGTATTGTGTTTTACACTACCTTGAACCATTTCCACCGTGAATCTGAACAATCATCCTCAACTGCCTTAGGTGTGGCGATGAGGACGGTGTGAAGGCGGATTACAGCATCAAGTACATGGTTAAAGTACTTGCTTACTGTTCTACCTGATCTCGTAAAATCAAACTTCAAGGTAACGTTTTTCTTGTGATGTGCGAGGATTGAAAGAAACATAGCAACTTGTTCACTCGGTGCAACGTTTCTAGATTGAACAAGACCCCCTAAATTTTCAAGGAGGAAACAAAGGCGACCAAAACAATTTCTGTCCATACGGAGGTTCTCAAGGGAAGTGGTGTCACTGACGTCGACTAGCCTTTGCATATGACTCACTTGAAGGAGCACTCTATCCCTCAGTCGGTATGTGAGTCCGCTAGTCAATGAAGGTCGACGGCGGCGAGGGAGTATGAATTTGTGGTAGTAGTAACTTGCTACTATGAAAAAAAATCGAGCACCAAGAACAATCTCTTCCGAAAGAGTGAGAATTAGTTGTCTCGCACGTTATCCAT